TACTGAAAAATCGATAGTTACAAAAACGTATAATAGATGGCGTAGTTTTTTTTTTAAACATATGAATAGAAAAATTTCAATAATATTTCTTTAGTTTTGTTAATTTCACGCTGCATCACTGAAAAATCTCGTTTACACAAAATACCCTTCTTTTTTGCTAATCGAATATTTATATAACATATTTATAAAACATACACACATATTTATTGGCTGAAATATTCATGTTCCCAAACAACAGACAACAATATTTCCATTACTTATTAATTCAGAAACATGTATATAAAGATACAAACATATTTAGTACTGAAAAATCGATAGTTCCAAAATCATATAGTAGATGGCGTAGTATTTTTTAAACATATAAATAGGAAAATTCCGCAATAATATTTCTTCATTTTTCTTAATTTCACGCTGCATCAGTTTTTTTTAAACATATAAATAGGAAAATTCCAATAATATTTCTTCAGTTTTTTAATTTCATGCTGCATCACTGAAAAATCTCGTTTACACAAAATACTCTTCTTTTTTATATAACATATATATAAAACATACACACATATTTATTGGCTGAAATATCGATGTTCCCAAATAACAGATAACAATACTTCCATTACTTATTAATTCAGAAACATTTATATAAACATACATACATATTTAGTACTGAAAAATCGATAGTTCCAAAAACATATAATAGATGGCGTAGTTTTTTTTAAACATATAAATAGGAAAATTCCAATAATATTTCTTCAGTTTTGTTAATTTCATGCTGCATCACTGAAAAATCTGTTTACACAAAATACTCTTCTTTTTTGCTGATCGAATATTTATATAACATATATATAAAACATACACACATATTTATTGGCTGAAATATGATGTTCCCAAACAACAGATAAAATACTTCCATTACTTATTACTTTAGAAACATTTATATAAAATACATACATATTTATACTGAAAAATCGATATTCCAAAAACGTATAATAGATGGCGTAGTTCCAATTATATTTCTTCAGGTTTGTTAATTTCACGCTGCATCACTCGTTTACACCAAAAACACTTCTTTTTCAATACAATTTATTACATTATATAAGGACACCAATTTGTAATGCTATCATCGTTTGGAACTGTTCCAGTATCCTCAAAAATCACATTATTTGTTACCTAATAAAATGCATTTAGGCCGCATCCCTTCCTTTTTCACCCTTTTTAAACGGTTTAATGCTTTTACGTGGATGTTGAAACGCCTCATTTACGATTTCTTATTTACAGCATTCCATTTTATTCCTCTGCCTCTCTCTCTCTTATTTTACGACGTACTTATTTTTTATATATATTGTTAATCTCAGAAAACTCTTAAATCTTTGCACAGAAAAAAGAGGAGAATCAACTATTATTTATAAGAACACGATAATAAGTTATGCAATATTTACGTCCAAATTAAAAAAAATCTATTACAAATGATTAAACACAGTTAATAATAAGAAATTTAGTTATTATAATTCAATTGGTTTCTTTAAAGTTTCAATTGAAACAAATCAAAACTTTCGCAGCTGCAAAGATAAGAAAATTATTAAATATTGCATAACCAAAAGCACAATTGAACATCTGCGTTTTAATTGAACACCTGCGAAACACGTGCGTTTTAGTTGCAGCTGCAAA